CATCTCAACAAAATAGCAGACGGAGTAAGACGAAAATATGTATGATGCGGAAGTTGCAAAAAGTTAGATAAAATAAAATCTGTAATTCTGTAATTGTTGTTTTTGTTGTACTGTAGAGTTGGAACTGATCCATAGCTAACCCTCTGGCAGGTTTTCAGAGGCAGTTAATCACACTGAAAGAGACTGCCCATTTTTCTCCTTCAGCGGGGCTGGTGGCCTCCAATTGCATGCCTTTGAGATTATAGTGCAGCTTCTTGCCACTAGGCCACCAGAGCCCATAGGCTCAGAAAATCTCCCAAGAAATAAAAGTAAATAGCTATGTTTCAGAATAAAAAACTGAGAAACAGACATGTGGGCTGATGCTCTGGCTGTCGTGAGGTGAGGTGGACTTAGATGCTGGGGACTTACCTATCATGAAAGGAGAGGAGACTAGATTTTGGAATGAGAACGCAGAACACTGGGACAGTAATATGGTCATAAGACAGACAAGGGAGGAATGGATCCTGGAGGAAAAGGGAAGGCTCTCTTGAGAAAGTGAAACTCTGGGCGTGGGCCTCGCACTGATTTAAGTCCAAATTTTCAAAACAAACAAGAGTCTGGGAACTGTTAAGCAAAAAATGAAAATGAAAACTGGTGTTAGGCTGCCTACACTCCTGGTGTGTAGTGGCAACCACAATAGTGGCTGGTTGATGATAGAAAAAGTATGTTCTCTTTCCTTATCACTTGGGTGCCCCCAACCCCAATCCTGAAATCAGAAGAGACATTCCCCACTGCCACCAACACTCACGAGGAGTTGCTAGTGTTCTCTAGTTAGGCCCACCTCTGAGGCTATTCCCATGCCATCATGCAACTAGAACCAGAGGTGTGCATGGGTCTACACTCAGAACTTTCCTCCAAGAGCCTGTGGACTGTGCAGCACCTGGTTTTCAGATCAGTGGGACCACCCCTCTGTCTGGTATCCTCTGCTCTTGTGGTCACCGTTGCAACGTTTGGAACATAGCACCTTTTGCAGAGTGTGCCATCCTTGGACATACCAGGTTTGCAGTGACTATCTCTTCATGCTAGCCATCTCTGACTGTGTATCCTGCCTGCACCAATCTCCTAGACTGGCAGAGACACCATCTCTCACCTAGCATACTTAGCCTTGGTTGCCCTGAAGCCACTAGAAACTCTGCCCCAAGCTGGATGTCCTACTCCTCAATACACCCTTGCACATGGCTTGGCTCCTATCTTGTAGCCTCATTTACACTCAGCTGAGCAGAAATTCAGACCTGACTGGGTACCCAACTCCAAACTTCTACTGGACTGGAAGATACACTGTCCCAGATCAGACAGCTTAGTTTTGGGTACTAACCATTTCCCATAGATTTTCAGGTATTTCCTTGTTTATTTTACAGTTTGCTCTTGTGAGTTGATTTTTCTTTTTCCTTTTTATTTTCTGCTTTCTCTTTTGACTATGGTTTTGTTGAGCATTTTTCCTCCTTTCTCCTGCCAGTCTATTATCTTTCTGTTTTTTATTTTATTAAAATGTTTCCTCTCTTTTTAGTCTTTCCATTCTTATTCTTCATTTTGTATCTATCTCTGTTTTGGTTTTCCCCATGTTCTTGTATTGTCTAATCTTGTTTATGGTTTTTTCTATGTTTATTTCCCTTTGTCTTTGTTCATTTGACAACAGAGTGCCACAGTATCCAGCCACACACACACACACCTCCTGTAGTTTGACACACTGTCAAAACTAAAGACTTGCTTTCAGTTCATCTGATCAATGAAATACTGCAACCTACACCAGCCTTCTCTCAACTACACTGCACAGTAAATAAAGAACTGTACACACACTGTCACCTTTTACTATATCCATCAGAAGACAATGAAACAGTAAGAATAGGCAGTGAAACTAGCAAGCAACACAATGGCACTTACATGGTTCAGTTATATATATATCAAGACAAAATTGTACAAAGACAAATATTACTGTCTCTTGCAGGCAGAAGGCAACTTTTAACTGGGCACAAAACCAGGGAAAAAATTGGACTAAAACATGACCAAAATACAGAAAATATTTCAGAGGAAGAAATGCTACGAAACTTCCTGATAAGGAATTAAAAAATATGAGAATACTGAACTATAGATTAATAATAAAAAGAATATAAGACCAAACATAAAAAAAATGAGAAACTATACAGAAGCAGCATATTGAAATTCAGAACACTCAGACTAAAATTTCAGAAATAGTTAAGAAATTAGGAGGACAAAAGAGAAAATTAAAGCAGTTAATCACAGAACTAATGAGATTGGGGACAAATCTTTCAATATTAATCTGTTAGAGAAACAGGAAAAAAAGAAGGAAGGAAAATGGAGAAAGCATGAGAATCATGACAACATCAAGAAGAACAACTTATCTGACTGAAATCAGAACAAGGAGAAAAAAAAACACAGAGGAAATTGAAGTGCTAGAAGAAAATTCCCCAGATATTGATTATAAAGTGTCAGAAAGGCATCTTTGTCTCACAAAAGGTTGTGATAATACAGAGAACTAGACAATTAGAATTATTTCACCCTTGCCTTGTCATATGTGCTAATGTTACAAAACGCCAAAAATGAAAAGCATACTATTTTTTTGTTCTTATCTTCTAGTGTATACTTGGCTGTGTAGTGTCTACAGCTGAATCTGACCTTTTCCTTTATTAAGCCATGTCTACACTGTGAGCAACCCTGAGGAGCTCCTATTCCAAAATGACATTTTATTATTTTTTGTCATCAGATTATGAATATGGGGAGGAAAATGTGATGGATGAAGACAATTTAATTGTGGAGAAGCACTTTGGATCCAAATCTATTCTTAAGGCTAATATTTTAATGTCAAAATGCTATACACAACCCACGGAGGGGCTAGATTAGAAGTAAATTCTATCACAGAACAGACGTCTTGATACACATTGTCTCAGTTAATCCTTAATAGTAAGCGTTGGAGGAGGGCACCCAAGAATGCTGAAGCTGAGGCTTACACCTTGTTGCTGTTGTGCATCTCTGAGTAGAAATCGATCCAGAGCTGTACCTTTGGGGTGGTAGTTCAATTCCTTACTACTAAACTACCATACTCCTTACTAGTTCAGTATCTCCCAGGTATTTTGTAGTGGATCAGCATCTGGAACTAAGACACAGCTGATTGCATGTTCATGCTCTTTTCACTGTAGCATTTGCCCTTTCACCAGGACTCAGGCTTTCAAAAACCCAGAAAGCAAGGCATCAATGACAAAAACCAAGGGTACTTCAATTTGGCATTGTTTATTACCATTAGTACACTCATAAAACCATGTAAATGCCAAAAAGGAAATTAAATGGTTTACCCTCCACAACAATCAACAGAGTGTCTGCCATGACCTTCCAGTAACCTCACCAGTTTATGTATTTATACACTTCACGTAAAGTGATAAGCATACAAATGAGATTATAATACATTTTTTAGGAAAAGAATTTTTTTGTCAATATTTTCTATTTTAAAAAACAAAACAACAGCTTTCCTCTTTGGCAAAAGAGGTTTTCTTTCCTATAACAAACTCAGAGGCTTAAATAAAACTCACTGAACATGAGGTACAGCATAGTCTGACCTAGCCTAGAATTATAAACATTCGAGGGGGACATTATTTCTTAAAAATATGATTTTGGTTTCCAACATCTCAGTAGAAAAGCACCGTTTAGATTTGGTCCTGGTCACTTCTGTTAGGCATACTTCGAAGAACCTTTTTCCTCTCTCCTTGGGGTAAAACACAAACCACTAAAATAGTCTCTTCCTGGAGAAAGTCATGAAAAGTGTGGGCAACTGGCCTTAGCAACACCTTCAACTTGATGTGCAGAATCATTTGACATGGGAATTCTGGCTGTAACTGCTGCACTACCTTCATTTCACTTTGCTAGGGGAATAGTTTCAGTTGCTGGAAGCCACAGTATTTGACTTTGCAGACAGATGTGCAAAGACAGGCTTGCATGTGAAAACTTTGTTATAGCAACCAGGCTCAAGGAGGGAAATGAGCAGAATTAGCCAGGCTTTCTACCGCCCAGAGTACGTCATGGCCCCACCTGAAGTGGAGTCTAAAAGAACAGGCCACTGATGGGTGATTTTTTTTTTTAAATCAACAAACATCAACAAACATAATTGCTAAATCAACCACCATACTGGTATGTTTTTCATGCTTCAAGTAATTTCTTCCAGGAGAAGAATGCTTAAAATGTTCTTGGTCCTAGTTATCAAAGGAAAGAAAAAAAGAACATTAACTTTAAACAGACCTGCTGCTAACAAAGCATCAGACAAAATATATTTTTTAAAATGTGAACCTAATTACAATATAAGGACTTCTGGTGGTTTAGTGGTAAGGAGTTGCACTGTCATCCTAAAAACGTGTGCTTCAAATCCACCAGCTGCTCTTTGGAAGAAAGATGGGCAATTTCTTCCCATGGATTTACAGCTTCTGAAAACCCACTGGAGGGTCAACTATGAGTCAGTTCTGACTTAGCGGCACATAACAAGTACTATATATATACATTTTGCAACAGCTGTATGTTCCCTCTTAACTTCTGTGCAGAAGTAACATCTGGTAAAGCAAGCTCAGATTCCTTTGAGCTAAACACGACTCCTTACAGATTGCACATTTTACACCGAAGCAGCTCAATATCACAGTGAGAGAAGTGCAGACACCATCTGAAAAGTCTCATATTTTTTTTTCACTAGCCAATAAAACCAACAGATGAGGACTGCCCTAAGGGTCGAAACAAAATCAGCTGCACAGTTATGTAAACAGTATGAGGTTGTCTCTGAGACTCCACCACAGGATCCGAATGAACGGCATGCACCAGCCACGTACGCACACAAGCACAAACACACGCACACAGGCACGCGCGCACGCACGCACGCACACAACAGCAGTTTCCCTTCTTCCAGTGCCAACAGAGGGACAGCCCGTCGATGCTCGCAGGTACCACGGCAGGTTTCTTTCACATTGTGTTCACAGAAGAGCGGTCATGGCCGTCTGGTTGACTGGGGTCAGGCAGTCTCTGGGTGCTGAGTAGCCATCACTCACTCCGGGGCTCTTCTGTGGTCTCTGGTAGTCACCATCACTGTGTCCCGCGGTGAAGAGGCTGTTCGCTTTGGGCTCATCATACGCCCGGTCTACAGGGTCCTGGAGCATGTGATAGTCTCCACCTTTGGTGCCTCCGGAAGGGGAGAAGCTGCCGGAGGACAGTGAGTGTTTGTGCGTAGGTGCAGGGCCGGGCACGCAGTAGCCGCTCCGAGCCGAGAAGGTGTTGGCTCTCATCAGGTGGCGCTCCACGATGGGTGTTGCATACTCAGGCTCTTGGTTGGTCAAGGGCAGGGCATACTCGTGGCCACCTGGCCGGTGCGGGCAGTCGTAGTGGTTGCCGCCCTCCGTGCTCATTGCATCCACGTCAGTGTCCATCGGTCGGAAGGTGGAGCCCTTCCTTGTGACCGTCCCTGTACCGATCATGAGAGGTTGCTGGTAATCTGAGAGCAAACGAGAAGACACCATTTTTAGTGCATCACAGAGATACATGGACAAGCCTGCTGAATGTAGAGGATGCTGGCTCATTTGAGGTAGTAGTGAACCAACGTTATACAGAACTCTTTAAGTGTCACCAGGTCCTCAGTGTGCCCCAATTCAACACACTGTGAACCTGAAAGACATCAAGTGTGGAAAAAGACCAAGATGGAAGAGTCACATCTTTCACATAGAGGGATTCGCACAACCACAGGCACTGCTTCAGATTCCAGGCAAAGTGCAAGTGGCTAATGTGTATAGCTCTTAAGAGAAAGGTGGGGAGTTCAAGTCTACCCATAAGGGCCTTGAGACAAAGTCATTATCATTATAATTGTCAAAAGCCTGATGGCTTTAAAAAATAAATTCCCATGGAGTACAGTTCTGCTCCGACACACACGGGGTTATCATGAGACTGGTGCTGGTGGGGGAGCTTGCTTTAGGAAGGGCCAAATGGCTATAGGAACTCAGAATAAAGAGATTAGGTTTTTATTTAGCGGCACACAGAGAAGTATTTAAAACAATAAGTGGGACTTTGACTCTTGAAATGTTAAATTTTGAGGTGGAAGTACTAGTAGAAGTAAAAGGAGGAAAGACCAATCACACAATTTGGTGTGAGGGAAATAGTCATTTTGTCTAATGGGATATAAAGATGAAAGCAGTAGGCTAGGGCTGAATGATGATAATGATGAAACTATAACATTTATTGAGCTTTTTATTCTATGCCAGGCACTCTTTTAAAATACTGTTGTTATGTGCCCCCAAGTTGACTATGACTCACAGTGACCCTATGAACAATGGCTCTGAACCCTATCCTGAGCCAACTTCACTGTCCCTGACACAGTTGACCCCATTGCCACAGACATGGTGTCAGTCCTTCTCATCCATGGCCTTCATCTCCTGCACTGATCCTCTACCTTTCCAAGGTAGATCCAAGACTCAGTATCAAGAGAATGACAATTCTACCAGAGGCAATCTACAAGTTCAGTGTCATCCCACTACAGAAACCAATTCAATTCAACAAGATGGAAAAGGCAATTTCCAATTTAACCTTGACTGGAAAGAGAACACAAATAAGCAAAGCACTACTGAAAAAGAGAAACAAAGTAGGAGGCATCACACTTCCTGATCTCAAATTACCCAGCTGTGGTGGTCAAGACAGCTTCGTACTGGAACAGTGACAGGCACACAGATCAATGGTATAGAACTGAAAGTCTAGAAATTATCTATCTATGGTCAACTGATCTTTGACAAGGAGAAGAAATCAGTTAAGTAGGGAAATGACAGTTTCTTTAACAAATAGTACTGGCAAAATTGGAAAACCATCTGCAGAAAACTTAAGCAAGACCAACACCTCATACCATACCAAAAAAAAAAACCCAAAACCCAACAACTCAAAGTGGACCAGGGACCTACAAGTAAAAACAAAGACTATAAAATTCATCAGAGAAAAGCTAGGAAGAACTCTAGAAGTCCTAATCCACAGCATGAACAATCTTCCAAGCATAATGAAAAAGCTACAAGCAGGAGAGGATAAAATAGATGAATGGTTTTAAAAATCAAATCCCTACGCACATCAAAAACCTTCTCCAGCAGGGTAAGAAGGAAGTCCATAGACTGGGAAAAAATATGGCAATGGCATATCTGACAAGGGACTTACATCTAAAATTTACAGAATATTCTAGCACATCAACAAGAAAAAGTTAAAGAATGCAATCACAAAGTGAGCGGAGGATATGAATAGACACTTAACCAAAGATAATTCGGATGGCAAACAAACACTTAAAGAAATGTCCAAAATTGCTAGCTATCAGAGAGATGCAAATAAAAACAACTATGTGATATCATCTACAATAACAAAGCTCAGCAAACAATTCAAACAGATGTATGTACATCCATGTTTATTGTTTCATTATTCACAATAGCAAAGAATATGGAATGGAAGCAACTCAAGTGCCATCAACAAATAAGTTGGACATAAAAACTACTGTACATTCACACAATGGAATATTATGCACCCCTGAAAAACAATGAACTTATTAAACATTACATACACAACATGGGGCACCTGGAGGATATTATGCAGAGTGAAGTATCTCAGTCACAAAAGGACAAATAGTGCATAATGCCAGTGTTATAAACTAGTACAGAAATTGAGGGCTTGAGGATCGAAAGGGAAAAGAGTGGCTAGATAATATACAATGCATTAGAATAGATGAGGGGAAGAACTGTCTGAAAGAAATATATGAATGAAGATAATCTGGAACAAAGAGCACTTTGCATAGTGGGCTGGGGAAGGGATGGGTAGGGTCAGTAAGAGTGTGCAACAATGAGAAAAAAATAAGAAAAAAAAGAAAAGGAATACATGGAGGATATGTGGTGAAGATTAGATGCAAGGAGTTCAGGTTTAGACACATCAAAGAAATGATGACACTTGCAGGTGGAGATATCAGCAGGCTAGTGTCTGGGAAGGATTTCTGGATAGGAGATGTTGAGCTGATCAGCATACAAGGAAGGACATGGGGGGAAGCTCTAGGCATGGATGAAAGTGTGCAGCAAAGGGACTGCATGTCAGAGTGTGGGTGAGAGCAGGAAACTGGGACTTTCTACACATTTAGACTCACAGAAGACCCTTCAGTGAGGGTGGAGTCAAAGCCTTACTGAAGCTGAAAGAAGATAAAAAAAAAAAAGGAAAAAAAGGACAGAAATGAGGTAGTGGCTTCCCTTCCTTCACTCTCAATGTAGACCAGGATTTACATGAGGAAAGGAGAAGGCTTTAGGTTGGGGGGGATGCTCTCCTTCGCCCGGAAGCGTCTCAAGCACCCTTACATTGGTGTATGGGCATCATCTGGGAACTTCTGCACAGGAGGCCTGACTGTCTGCACTTCTAATAAGCTCAGGGGTGATGGGGACACTGCTGGGCTCAGAAAGCCCTTTGAACAGGAGGAGCCAGTGCAGTGCTGCTCAGCGGGTGACCTTGCAGTAGCTGAGGAGTGTTGTGACAAGTCATCAAAACAGGAAATGCAGAAATTGAGAGTTAAATTTATAAATATTTAGCAATGTGACAATTTTATGTCATGAACCCTGGTAGCTTAGTGGTAGGAAGTTGTGCTGCCAACGTAAAGCCATGCTTCTCGAATCTACCAGCTGTTCCTCGAGATAAAGCTAGACCATCTCCTCCTGTGTGATTTACTGTCTCTGAAAATCTGCTGGAAGAGTTGGTTCTGACTCATTGGTATGTAACACCACAGATCTAATTTAAAAACAGGGCTTTGTATTTTGTATGTTTAAAAGCTGTTCCTGTTTCTGATAATTTATACTATATTTTACAAAAAATACTAATCCATAAAAATAGCAAACACCAGGTCCTTTCCCACAAATCGTTTAGGAAGCCTGAGTCTCAGTGATGTCTTGCTTGCTAGGCTTTTCTAACTGGATGAGTTCATTTGTCTCTTATGTCGTCCCACTCAGGAGAGGAGCAGTTGTCTTTCCAGCCCTTTTCTCAGCACCTCAACCAAACAAAACAGGCAAATTAAGGCCTTCTGGACTCTGGTGGTACTTCAGGGTCCTCTCTATGGGTGCCATTACACCCTCTGCAGGGACAAGCAGGGAGGCTGAACTGAGCTTTTGAATTAACAGCTACTGACAGTGCGCAAGAGCAAGAGATAGACTGCAAAGAGATAACACATTTCTAATTTATCAGATCCCACTGAAAACAAAAGACGTTAGTCTCATTTCTTCTGGTTTCCTCCCCTACCAGCACAGTCTGTCAGAGGCTGCACTTACCTGCCATATCACATGCAATTAGATCTAACTTTTGGGTCATCTCCTTTTCATTATCATAGCTGATGGTAAATTCTGATGACTGATGCCTGAGGAAAGGATACTTAATCTGCTTCCAACAGCCTGGAATGAAAACAACATGAAATAAATGCATCAGAAGTGTAACCCTCACTCTGTGATGTGCTCCTCAAGACTAAGTCTGAGCCTTTCTTGATGCTGACTGTGACCATGGCCCATTTCTTTAGATGCACTTGGTGAAAACAGCATTAAGACATCCTCAGTAGTAACCACAGCACTATCCCAATTAAGTTCTACACTCATCACAGCATATTTGTGTGTTTGTTGGATCCCAAGACGGTCCCTTTGCTGGACCATCCTGGGCATGGTATTCCACCCTGTGCACTGAAATAGCCTGGGTGGCTTAGAAGGGACAATGTCAATGGCAGTTTAGACCTCAGGAAGATAGAGTCTTGAGTGACCCCTGAAGTTCTCCAAGAGCTCTGTCTTGTCTCCTTAACCACAGCTGACTGTGGACATCCTGTGTCATAAGGATTCTGCAATCTGGTCCTTTCCCCACTTCCCCAAGTGGAAAATATAAGGCAAGCCTGAAGATGCTAAGGGTGTGTTGTCCTACATTTACAGATGATGATGATGATGCTTTTATAACTTCTTGATGAAAACCAGTGTTCTGATCTAAACTCCATTGGCCAAAAAATTATTGTAGGTAAATGATGGGATTATGTTAAAAAAAAGTAAACAAGCCACCAAATATCTGAATTATAATGAAGAGATAGGGAAAAGGAAATTTTCCTTTTAGGTTTTTAAATTAAAAAATTCCATGGTGCTATTTTTTTCCTTTTAAGCCCAATAAATGTGGGCCATAGCCTAATCATGTTTTCAATGAGGAGACCTTGCCCCCAAAGCCAAAATAAAAACTGTTGAGTTTTCAACCAACCTGTTTTCTGAGTTTCGGTTGATCCATAAGGATTTCCTTCCTTCTTCCTTCTAGCAACACAAAAAGTCCATCTGATTATTTATAAACCACTATGTCTCTCTCTCCCTCTACAACAAGGGGATCATATTAGTCCTTACCTTGTGAAATTAAACGAGACAACAACTGTCAAGTGCATATAATGGTAAAGAAATACATAGGATTATATAGAAATATATGCCACATAAAATAAAGGTCACAATATTTTCACTAGAAGATTAGTGTACTAATTACTTTATAGCCTAGAAAACAGTATTTTATTATTTGCTCCCTAGCTCATGAAGTCAAAGTCAATTAAAATCTCTAAATCTCTGACAATTTTGGAAAATAATGGGGGCTAATACTTCAGATGGAAAAACACTAGATGAAAAAAAGGTAGCTGACCCAAGTCTTCACATTCACATGCACTCACGTCATCTCTGCTCAACAATGAAGGACATTCTGTTGCCTCTGAGTTGATTCCAGCCTTTGAGGTTCCCATGTATTGTCACAGAGTAGATTGCCCCATACAATTTCCTCCGCTATTATTACAGAAGAGCTCTGGCAGCCTGGCCCATGGGGAAATGCACCATGAATCCAAAGGCTGTACTTTCTTGGTTGTTTGAATCCAACAGTGGTTCCATGAGATACAGGAGAAAGATGGGAATCTCCTCTCACTTGATTTACAGCTTCAGAAACGCAACTGGAGGGTCAGCAATGAGTTAGTTCTGTCTAAGAGGCAATGAGTCTTAGGGATCGCCAGTGGCCTAGTTGATAGAGAGCAGCATTACTAATCCAAAGGCTGCACCTCTCTGAAGTTCAAATCCAAAAGCTGCTCTCTGCCAGAAAGATGGCTGGTTTTCTCTGTGGGAATTGCAGTTTCGGAAACCCAATGGTGGGTCAGCAATGAGTTGATTCCTACTCAATGGCAACGAGTTTGAGTTTATAATTATTACAGAGGTAGCTCTCCAGAGCTTTCTTCCGTAGTCTATTGGTAGGTCCGAACTCTCAGCCTTTTCATTAGTAAACCCACTGTCAATGAGTAGATTATGATTCATAGGGACCCTCTAGTTGTAGATAAATTATTTGTACTATCCAGAAACCTCTAGTCACCATCTAAAACTGTGGGTGTCTTTAAAAGGAATTACAATAAAAATAACTTCGGACACTTGCTTTAACCCATAAATTTTCCACATGGAGCTTAAAACCTAGGTATTGTTCTTTCATTTTTATTCATAAAATTGTTCTTCATTCTATGTGTACTAATAATTGATAAATTCTTGTTGCTTTAAAAAGATATAAAGGAACTTTGGAATGTTTTCCACTTTTTGGTAGGGTCTAAATACAAACATTTGCTCCAGTAAACTTGGGAGTTTTGGACTCTGAAAGTTAGTAGTTCTCCAAGTAGACTCTATTTTGTGTATGGAAAAAAGTGAGGACCGGGACACTAAATGGCCTTCTTCCCAGTGACAAGGGTGGGACCAGAATTCAGACTGCCTGGCTCTCCTCCTAGTACACTTTCCACTCTACTGCTGGAAGAAAAACAGATACTTCAAAGAGCATATTTCAGTCCTATACTACTTCGTCAACAATACTCAGCAGTTAAGTCAACATCAAAGGTTCCCAAATGATACCAACAGTGTATAAAATAACACCTGAGAATTTCTACTTCTTTGCAATTTGTTTTTAAATATACAAGTTAATGTTTTCTTTTGAAAGATGTTGCCTTTCTATATATGATTATCTGAAAAGTAACATTTTCTTATTATAATTATTGACATAATCACAGAATACATTTTAAAAAAATATCAAGTCCCATACTTTTTGAAGATTGCAAAGAAGCCCATTCCAGCAGCCAGCAGGACGACCAAGAGCACGGACGGAATAATGATGGTTGCCAAGTTCACTCCTAAAGAGAAGGTCAAGTTAGAACATTGTAAAAGAAAATAAACTATGAACAGATCCCATCCTCTAAAACAGAACAATGATTTAAAAGGCCCTGAATTGTTAAATATATGGGGAAAATTGATATATGCTAACTAAACATTTGCTTCTCTCAAAAAGCAAAGGGATATTTAAAATCTTGACTTAATTTGGGAAGGCATTTTATTCTTCCCCCTAAAACAGTTTTCAATGTTCCTCTAAGATTAATATTTACTCTTGAGTTTTCTGTCTGCCCTTGCCCCCAAACTAAAACGACTGCTTTTGAGCTGATTCTAACTCACAGAGACCAGAGAAGTGTCCCATAAGGTTTTCTTTTTTTTTTTTGAAACACTTTTAACCACTGTCTCACTAGGGCTCTTCTTGGTTCACGTTAAACTCCCAAAATTCAGAATGAAGAAAGAAGGTTTAAAACGGCCCAATCAGTTCAGGAGCTATTTATAGACAAGTCAATGGCTTAAGCACAGTGTAGAGCTCTTAGCATGTTTTCAAGCAGCCAGTTCCACAAGATGTGGGCAGACTGAACTGAAATGTAACACACATATAGAGACTTCTGAAGGAGTGCTGATGGTCTAGTGGTAAGGAGTTGAACTGCCAACCCCAAGGCAGGCAGTTTGAACAGACCAGCTACACCATGGGAGAAAGACAGGAAATCTCTTCCTGTGCAAATTACAGCTTCTGAAACCCCACTGGAGAGGTCAGCTGTGACTCAGTTCTGACTCAAAAGTACATGACAATTCTCTAAGTTTCTAAGATGGCTTTGGAGTCACGACTAAAAGGAGATTCAGCTTACTGATGTCAAAGGGCATTTGGACACAGCTGTATGAAATATGAAACACAAATTCCCTACAACTCTGCTTAAAAAAAAAAAGGAGGTGGTGGCACAGAGGCTAAGCCCATTTGTTAATCAAAAGTTTACCAGCTGTTTCTTGGAAGTAATATGTGGCTTGGAAACCCTGTAGTATTTAAAATATGCAAACCACTCAATTATTATTTTTTTTTACTCTTCTTTATGTGTGAAAGCTGAGGGAAAATAAAGAGATAATAAGGAATGGAAATGTGTAATTCTTTAAAAAGGAGATCAAAGAATTTACATCTGAATAAAAATGTCTGTAATTAAAGCAGTGTTAGCTATAAGAGTGAAACTTTGGGGAGGAAGCTTAAATATAAAAAAAAATAAGAGAACAGTTAAGTGAGTGTATCCACATGATAAAATATATAAAGCCATTAGTAGTTGTGGTTTTCAGCTATTTAATCACATATAAGTGTTCATAACACAGTATTGCATTAAAAATGTTCTTGAACGGAATATATGGTATATTCCCTTTCGTCTTGAAGTTATAAATAGCAATGTATTAGACTGAGCACAGTAGGATTTGAATGGAAATCATCTATGGATGCTGATAAAGGGCAAGTTTTCATTTTTTTTCTATTTTTATAGTAGTCTCAAATGATATAAAGATAATATGCAAACCATTCAATATTCTGAAACAATAGATGAATTTTTATGTGCCCAAAATTCAGAAGTTTATAACAAGGTGAATGTACTATCTCCCTCCTTCCTTTTTCCTACTTTTCACAAAAATGTGCATGTTTATGGTTTTTGCAAATGGTATAATGCTCTTGCTTTTGGTTTTGTCTGCTCACTGTGTATGCTATATGTGTGAATATTCCCATGAACCTGTTGTGAGAGAAATTATGGTATGTTTTCTAATATTCATTCAGAACTACTTTATACATAAAAGAATAAATGTATATTTGCATTATTTTCCATTTTCCTTGTAGGCATGGCAACCCGCCACAGAATGTTATTTCTTACTTATTTTGCTAACATATTTCAGAGAACTTTCCACATTATTAACACAAAGAAAGTTTTCATACTTTTTTTATAGCTGTTGTTGTTGTTATGTACCACTGACTCGCTTGTGATGCAGAGACCCTATGTACAACAGCCCTAAACTCTGCTCTGTCCTGTGCCAATTGCATTGTCTCTGACACACCCATCCCGAGTCACTGAATCAATCCACCTTATAGAGCGTCTTCCCCTCCTGCGCTGTCCCTCCACTCTCCCAAGCATGATGTCCCTCTCCAAAGACCGGTCTCTCCTTACAACATGTCCAAAGTATGTTAGATGGAGCCTCAGAATCCTTGCCTCCAAGGAGCTGCCTGGTTTAACCCTTTCCAGGATCAATCTGTTCGTTTTCCTAGCAGTCCATGGTACCATCCATACTCTTCTCCAGCACCACAGTTCAAAGGCATCAATTCTCCTTCTATCCTCTTTAGTCACTTCTCCTTCTATCCTGCTTAGTCACTGTCCAACTCTCTGATGCATAACAAGTGATAGCAAAGGCCATGGCATGTATCAGATGCACCTTAGTCTCCAGAGAGACACCATTGCTTTTCAGCACTTTGGAGAGGTCCCTGACAGCAGACTTTTCTATGACAATACGTCTTTTAATTTCCTGGCTACTGGTGCCAACAGTGTTGACTGTGGAGCCAAGCAAACTGAAGCTGTGAACAATCTCAATCTCTTCACCATCCATCCTGATGCTGCCAATTGGTCCAGTGGTGAGAATCTTTGTCTTCTTGACATTGAGCCTCAATCCATATTGGAGGCTGTAGTCCTTGACCCTCTGCAGCAGGTGCTTCAGGTCCTCTTCAGTTTCAGCAAGCAGGGTTGTGTCATCTGCATAATGCAGATTATGATGAATCTTCCACCAATCCTGACACCACACTTCTCCTCATAGAGCCCAGCCTCCGGGATGATCTGTTCTGCATACAGGTTGAAAAGGTATGGAGACCAGACACATCCCTGGCATACGCCCTTCCCAATTTTGAACCATGCAGTGTTTCCTTGCTCTGTTCTAACAACTGCCTCTTGGTCCAGGTATAGGTTTCTCATTAGCATGATCAAGTGTTCTGGGCTGTAGAGTAGTTAAATGTCTAATTATTCTATTTTATTTTTTGGTATATTTACCTAGTGCTTGAAGGGTAGGTTAAATTAGCTTCCAATTCATTCCTACTAATCTTGCAAGGAATAGTCATGGACGTACATAATTTTTGCATGTGCAAATACCTCTGGACTGTTTGTATTTACATATTTATATGCCAGGGAAAAGATGTTTTGTTGAATTATTGTTAAATTAGGTAGGGTACCAGCTATGCCCCTCATAAAAACACAAAATGTTCTGTCTGCCATACCTGTGGGTATTTCCTCCGAGGGGGTGGGCTTTGTGATTGTCTTATCTTCCTTCTCAATTGAAACACCAGTAGTTTGACTTGTTTTCCGCCATACCAGTGAACTATTGTCTGAGAAAGAAGGAATGTTAGAAATCCACGTAAGTTACAAGGCTCTATAAAGTGAATGATAAAAATCAAGGAGCACAGGGACTCAGCCTCAGCCCTACCTTGTGTGGTCTGGCAACCAATGAGCTCCACTTTCAAGGCTATCCTCTGGTGCCAAGTCTGGGGGATGACCCGCACATATCTGGCCACAATAGGAGGGATGAAATTGTTTCTTACCGGGTCCTGAAAATTAGAGTTGCCCTGGAACACCTGTGGAAAAAAGTAATTTTTATTTGTAGTAGGTTAAATGTTGGGATGCAAAAGGAAAGGTAGGCGGTTGGAACTTACCAGCCACTCAGAGGGAGAAAGATTAGACTGCGGTCTCCTGCCACTTAAGACTGACCACCTTGGAAATCCGATGGAGGGTTGCAATGAGTCAGGACTGACTCAGAGGCAGCGGGTTTGGTTTATTAGTCTTTAGGACTTTATCAATCCACTCATACCTCGTTACATGTAACCAAACCAAAGATTCGGTCTGTTGTATTGTTCAGACCCTCTAGATAGTGAACCTTACAAAGACCAAGTTACTTAAGTTCTCTCATTTGAATTTCATTTTGGAAGTTAAAATTTCTTAGTTGTAATATCTTCATCTTTTTATGCTACTATAGTGATTGGTAACCTCAAAAGCATAAATCAGTTCTTAGCCCCAAACTAACTCAAATGATCTCTAACAACATCCCAATTCAAATTCCCAACCCCAATCTTCTACCATGCTGAAGCAATGATTAATTTATACAGAAGCAATTATTTCAAGTTACCAAGAAAATCATAAGTATCTCATTCTGCAGGAGAAAATATTTCAATCTCAAATATCTCGAGGTTTTTCTTACTCTCACATGCTCAAAAGAAGATCGTTAATGCCTTTTATAAATAAAACTATAATGGACCCTGTGATTTCTCCCCTGCCCCTCATCCATTTGCTCCTACCCCTAAAGGAAATGGGAAAGATCCAGAGGACCTGAAAAGACGGGGTAATGGTGAGCATAGCTTAGTGGGGATTAATTTTATGAAACACAATGTATGTGAATGATTGTATGAAACATCAAAGAAAGTGTGAAATATAATGTATATGAATTTCGGGGAAAAAAGAGACAAATCCCTGATTTAAAAAACCTGTAACACAAAGTGTGTGTATAAAACATGGTGTATATGAATGATTATATATACACCAATAAAAAATTTATAATGGAAACACACGGACCCAAATTTTTGAGGGCTGCTTCCTCCACTCAGTTTTCTTTCCTCTTGAGTTTCTCTTCTTACCTTTTTTTCATTATTCACAATTCCTTTATAGGTCTTCCACTTGGAGTTGTTGCTTTTAAAATTTATCACAAAACTCTTAACATAGAAGTTGAAACTTGACTGTGTGGATCCTGCAGTCCTAATTCCTTGTAAGGAAACATTATTTATAGGTTAGCTTATAAAATATGTTAACATACAGAACAATTTCACTGATTTCACATGCAAGCAAGATTTTACTGAAGATTATCCAAAAACGACTGGAATAGCACATCAACAGAGAACTACCAGAAGTCCAGCCTGGTTTCAGAAGGGGTAGTGGTACTAGAGATATTGTAGTTGATGTTAGATGGATCTTGGCTGAAAGCAGGGAATACCAGAGGAATGTCTATCTGTGTTTCATTGACAATGCAAAGGCATTTGACTGTGTAGATCATAACAAACTGTGGCTGACTCTGAGAAGAATGGGAATCCCAGAACACTTGATCGTTCTAATGCGAAACTTATACTTGGACCAGGAGGCAGTCGTCAGAACAGAGCAAGGGAACACTGCATGGTTCAAAATTGGGAAGGGCGTACGCCAGGGATGCATCCTATCTCCATACCTTTTCAACCTATATGCAGAACAGATTATCCGGGAGGCTGGGCTCTATGAGGAGAAATGTGGGGTTAAGATTGGTGGACGATTTATCAACAACCTGCGTTATGCGGATGACACAACCCTGCTTGCTGAAACTGAGGAGGACCTGAAGCGCCTGCTGCAGAGTGTCAAGGACTGCAGCCTACAATATGGATTGAGGCTCAATGTCAAGAAGACAAAGATTCTCACCACTGGACCAATTGGCAGCATCAGGATGGATGGTGAAGAGATTGAGATTGTACACAGCTTTAGTTTGCTTGGCTCCATAGTCAACAGTCTTGGCACCAGCAGCCAGGAAATTAAAAGGCGCATTGCCATGGGAAAGTCTGCTGTTAGGGACCTCTCCAAAGTGCTGAAGAGCAGTGGTGTCTCTCTGGAGACTAAGGTGCATCTGATACAGGCCATGGTCTTCGCAATCACCTGTTATGCATCAGAGAGTTGGACAATGAAATGACCAAGGAGGATAGAAGGAGAATTGATGCCTTTGAGCTGTGGTGCTGGAGAAGAGTATTGAGAATACCATGGACTGCTAGGAAAACAAACAGATTTGTCCTGGAGAGGGTTAAACTGGGTGGCTCCTTGGAGGCAAGGATTCTGAGGCTCCGTCTAACTTACTTTGGACATGTTGTGAGGAGAGACCGGTCCTTAGAGAGGGACATCATGCTTGGGAGGGTGGAGGGATGGTGCAGGAGAGGAAGGCCCTCTATGAGGTGGATTGATTCAGTGACTGGGATAATTGGGATGGGAGTGTCAGAGACAGTGCGATTGGCACAGGACAGAGCGGAGTTTAGGGCTGTTGTACATAGGGTCGCTATGAGTCGTAGGCGACTCGACGGCACATAACACAACAACAAACAGCATATATTATAGTTTCTCAACATTTTGCATACCAACTTTTATTCACTTCCTTTAAAACCTGGTAAGTGTTACAGATAAGTGTCTTCACACTGACAGTCTATTATTAAGAGGTTCTGAAAATGAGGTATCATCTATAAAGAGAACACTGTACTGATATGTGTCATAAAGAGAACACTGTACTGAATATTTACAATCTGCACACAGTTCTTTCACAGAGATAAAGGGAGGATTTGTAACATTTTAAAAGCATGTCAAGTACTTTCAACTAAAGACAGGAAACTATGTAAATCGAAAGCTTAATTTCAACCGAAAGCCATTTTCCATTCACAAAACTGCTTTAGTGTTTCCCTTACGTACCTGTTATTTTCTTTCTTTCTCCCAAATCTATCTCCAGCCATTCGCGCTGTTTATGGTTGTTGCTGTTGTCCCCTGAAGCCCACGATGGGCCTTGATCCTTAAGCCAGGCCTGGCCAGGAGACCAATGAACTTGTTCTCCAATCTCATTGACCCAATGCCAAGAGGAAGAGGCTCTTATTTGCCTGTTAGGTTCCAAGCGCAAGGATTCACTGCAGTCTGGGGAAGAGGGTAGTAAAACTATCAAGATATTGATATTAAAAAATGCAAAAAAAGCCTTGAGTGCATCTCGTTTAATCTTACCCTGATAATGACTCTACTATTTAATTACTAGTTTTTCTTAATAGCCAGACTTGTATTCGGATTATTTGTAGTACAGACTCTTGAATCTTGTTGCTTTTCTTTTTAAATTGTGGTAAAGATACGCATGCATAATAAAATATTTATTGTTTCAACATATTTCACATGTTCACAATTCAGTGACAATAATTCATTTCATTACATTGTATGACCATCACTACTATCGATTTCCAAAAATTCCATTGTCCTTAACAGAAACTCAGCACCTCCTAAGCTATGATTCCCACTTCTCCTTCACCTTCCACCCTTCATCAGGCAAATTATTGCCATAGAGTTGACACTGACTTATAGCTGTCCCTCCAGTGGGTTTTCAGAGGCTATAAAGTAACCTAGAGGTAAGAAGATGCACTACAATTCCAAAGGCAAATGCTTCAAATCCATCAGCTATTCTACCGGAGAAGGATAAGCAAGCTCTTCCTGTTCAATCAACTGCTTCTGAAAACCAGCTGGAGGGTCAGCTATGGGTTGGTTCCAATTAGATGGTACACAACAATAAACTGCCTAGGCAGGGACAGTTTCTCTTTTTCTCCAGGTGGTTGATTTGAACTACCAGCCTTCTGGGTTGGCAGTGCAACTCCTTACCTAGAGGCCACTAGAGTGTCTTCCACCCTTGGTAATCACTAATACACTTCAGACTATACTTTTGCTATCTTAAAGTATTTCCTGGTATTTGTCCTTTTAGGACTGACTTATTTTACTTGGCATAATGTTTCTGATGTTTGTCCATACTATAGCATGTTTTAGGAATTCATTTCTCTTTACAGCTAATAATAATATTGTTTTGAATTTTAGTGATTAATATAGGAACCCAAGTAGCATAGTTAAGTGCTTGGTTGCTAGCTATGCAGAAGAAAATTTGATAATTTACAAGATTATAGCAACAAAATACTATGTCTATGAGATATTTCTACTCTTACATGAAGTTGTCATGAGTTAAAATAAAATCATTGGCACCTAAAAACACACTGAGTTTTTTTTTCTTTTTCTTGTGTACCTTCAAATCAAATCCAACTGGCACAGGAGGAGAATGCCCCTCCTTTTCCAGCAGAGCATCTGGTGGATTCAAACCGTGTGCTTTAGGATTTCAGTGCAGCTTCTTGCCACTAGCCCAACCAGAGCTCCCTTGAACTTATTTTTATGTGCTTGGTGGTCATTTGTGTATCTTCTTTGGCAAAATATCTATTCAAGTCTTTTACCCATTAAAAAACCAAATTATTATTTAAGTTATATTCTTTATATATTCTGGAATCAAACTATTATCTAGTATGTATTTTCCCCCAAAATCTCCAAACTGTAGGTTGTCTCTTCACTTTGCTTATAGTTCTTTGATGAATAAAAGATTTTAATTTTGAGGAAATCTAATTTGTCTATTTTGTCTTCGTGGCTAATGATTTTGGTACCATATCTAAGAATCCATTGTCAAAAACCAGGTCCTGAAGCATTACCCTTGGATTTTCTTCTAAGAGTTTTATAATTTTAGTTCTTACTTTAGAATCCAGGCCCATTTCTTCTATGGTATAAGCAATGGGTCCAGTTTCATTCTTCCACATGTAGAAATCTAGTTGTCCCCTGCTTTTCTTTCAAATGGACCTCATCAAAGTCAGATGCATTATGACGGTCACCTCTTTGTCTCTGTTACACATTTTCTAACTTTCTAATCTTACCCTGTTTAGAACAGAGTATAATGTGTCTTAAAGTTACTAAAGACTTCTTCATAATCAGCTGCTATGAGTTCATGTTTTTCAAAGCTACTACTTCAAACGTTATAATTTTAATTTTTCACAAAATACCCGTTAGTATTTTCAGCAGCTTATTTTATATTTTCCCCCTCTGCACTTTAAGACTTCTCTGACTTTAAGAGAGTATAGCCTCTGTAGTGTGTGTGTGTGTGTGTGTGTGTGTGTGTGTGTGTGTGTGTAAAACACATGTAAATAACTCCGTGGAGTAGTGAAATTGTTGTCTTTTATGAATTATACCTTATTCTAGTTTTTAGACTTCCTTAAAAATGTCTACTATTTTATTGTAAATCTAAGCCATAGAGAATAGTTAAAAAAAAAAAAAGTTTTTGCAACCAGTTTTTCAAGTTACTATGTTTTTTCCTCTTAACTTTTATTGATCTTTATTCTTGGTCTCTAAATTTTACATATCAATTATCTATTATTATTGATGATAAAACTTCAGAGTATAGAATTATTTTTTAAAAAATATTGGTTTAAGGGGAGCTCTGGTGGCCTAGTGGCAAGAAGCTGCAACTACAATCCCAGAGGTGCATGGTTCGAATCCACCAGATGCTCTGCCGGGGAAGGAGGGGCAATCTCCTCCTGTACCAGTCAGATCTGATTTGATGGTAGACACACACAAAAATAATAAAATAAAAACAAAACAAAACATTGGTTTATTTACAAAGTTCATGTAAATTGTTTTTCACACTACTCTTCATTCACATTTTGTTTCATAGTCATTTCCATTCATTACGTTTTATAAAATTAATCACCATTCAACTATGCTTATATTCACCCTGTCTTTCCAGATCCCCACTGGATCCTTTTCATCTCCTTTATTCACTCTTCCTTCCCCCTACTAAATTCTGCAAACCTATGATTTTCCCTCTGTCCATTCTCACCGCTCTGTTCCCACTCTACGCCTCCCCCCCACTTGGATCCTAATACACATTATACTAGTTATCTTTCTGCTTCTACAGTAAGGATCTTCTGCAGTATTTGTCTTTATGAGACATAGTTAGTTCACTAAGTATAATACTCTCCAGTGCCTCTCAAGTTATGCAGTAATTTTTTTAAATCATTGTGCTGTGTATTATTCCATCATGTGAATATACCACCATTTATCAAGCCATTCGACTGTGGCTGGACAATTTGGCTGTTTCCACGTTCTGTGATAGATACTGAGATAGTGTTCATTGCCATGAACACTGGTGTACAAATCTGTTTGTGTGTCAGTTCTATTTTCCCTGGAGTATATTCCTAGCACTGGAATGGCTGGATCATATGGAATTTCTATGTTCAGCTTTTTGAGAAAATGCCAAACTGCCTTCCAGAGTGGATGTTCCATTTTACAAAGCCATCAACAAATGTATGAGAGTCCCTACGTTTTCACATTCCACATCTTCTCCAACATTTACTGCTTTCTGTCCTGTTAAACTTTTCCAAATTACTCTTAATCTGCAATAGTCATTTAAAAAACCTCATAATTCACACATCATATGAGTTAAACTATACGAAAGGACTTGAAAAACTACTGCTGAAGAAATTCAAATGATCAGATATTTAAGGAAATCAAGATCCTTACCATTGGAGGCAAACTGAAATCGCTTGTCTGATAGGGAACCACTGGAGCAAAAAACAGAAAGAAGAAGAGGTGAGTTGCTTAACTAGATGGTAAGAATTGATAACTGGGCTCACTGTCTTCCTACACTTAAATGACCTTCACAACACCCCTGCAAGGCAAATGTGGCCATCTTTACCATCCCAACATCAGGGTTTTCTAAATTAGAAAGTTCAAGGTTCTTCAAAGTCAGCACCTCTTCTAAATTCATAAAGATGGCAAACAGCCAAGATTATGAAACCCTGATTTTGAATGAAAACCTTGTGCTGTTTCCCGCATACCACACTATATTGGTAAGTAATGTACCAGTAGACAGTCTCAGAAAGAACCTTAAATACCAATTAATTAACACAAGGTGATGGAAGCAGAAGGAATTCTGTCCTAGAAAACTATCTTTGCTTCAGGTCACCTTACAGCATCCTATTCATTGTCACTGTGCAGGAGTCATTGAGAGGAAACAAGAACCACGGGCACCTTCAGCCTTGACTCTCTCAGCCTCACACTGTTCCCTGCACTAGCACCAAGCATAAAGCTGTGAATTCCCACTTCTGGATTTCAAGGTATAGTTGGAGAAAAACAATAGAATCTCACTCACCAGTTGTGAATTGGACAGCTGCTCCAAGAAGGTCTTACTATTTATCTGGCATTGATTCTCTGCCTTCTTGGGCCCTAGAATTTGCTGCATTCTCATGGAAGAATGTACCAAATCAGTCTGACTTTGCAGCTATTTGCTTCAGTTAAACAGATTCCTAATGTCCAAGACTATATTTCCTTCTTTTAAAACTCTCTTACCAATGCCATTAAAAAGTATGAAAATTTGAGAATTCTCTTATTTTTAAGTGGACAGCACTTGCTGTATTAGATAGGAAAGTAAAAAAAATGGAGATGCCACTATCATTAAGCTCAATGATTTTTATCATCTGAGAGTGTTGTGTATTAGCTGAAATATTGCACTTTTGAAATGTATATAAGAATAATGAACAGAGAGAATGTTGAAATGTAGAACCCAAAAATACCCAGCCAAAAGCATAAGTAACTTCCCATCAAAAGTTCTCTTTAATAAAGGACTGCCTGTAATGGAATTTTTTCTTCCATATTCTTCATCTACTCTCATTTAGAGATTCCTTAAGCCTGGGCCTTCCACGCAAATGCTCTGGTATAATCCATGCTCTGACTGTAATGCAGGCACTGATCCTTTCTTATATGAGAAGTCTCAGACCAGATGTGTCATAGAACTTAAAGAAAATTGTGCATTGTTGCTATTCATATTTATATCTGCATTACACTTTATTGAAAGTCTTTCTTTGCTCCTGAATGTTCCTTCACTAAGTGCAGGAATTGGGCTAAAAATTCTAAATAACAATGGCTACAACTCTGAAAGCTTTAAGTTTTCTCCTACTGCCATGACACCTACAGCATTTGAAAAGATTTAATTTTCTTGTGTACAAAGAGAAATTACAGAAAAGAAGGGGCTGACCTTGAGGAAGACTCCAGGGCATGCTAGGCAATGAGTCTGTCTCACTCTGCTCCATTATCAGCCCAGGGATAATGTTTTCCCACTCTGCTCTATTAAACTGCTTGGATTTCACCACCTAGAAAATTCTATAGGCAAATGGCAACGAAAACACCCTTGAGAGAGGTGGGGCTCTGAGGCATTTGTACATAACAGAATTAACTCAGTCAGTTACAGGAATTGCTAGTCTCCCCAGAGGGCTGCAGAAGTAATCAAGAATAAACTGATGTAAATAGAAAGAAAGGCCTTCCCTTCTGAAGGTCTGAGCCATCATCCTCCCTATGAGGTCAGCTTCCCTTCCTGATTCCATTCTGGTCTTTGCAAATCAAGGAAGTGACCTGACCCAGGATGAATCCCAGAAGAACCCTGGATATTTACTTTAGGGACCCCTTCTTCCTCAGCTGCAATGCTTCCTTCTGTGTTTTTTCCTGAATGCCAAACAAGCATGTGTGGGAACAGAAGTTCAATGACCGCGGGGACAGTGGTTCCCCAATAGCAAAACAACAGATAAAAACAGCAGCTCCCTGGAGATTTGGGAATCTCAAGGAGTGGAAGAGACTTTGAACATGCAATTTATTCTTCTCTGCTGTGTAAAATCACAGAAGGAAGATGGGACCTGATTCAATTCTGAACTTTCAAGCTCTTCTCATTGAAGCAAAACTCATAGAAGGTCATTAGTTTAAATGGCTATATGGAATATTTAGCAAAACTCTAATTCTTTAGTGGTCAGATCTCTTTGCTCTTCTCTTCATATGGAAATTAAATTTCAAATTAAGTAAGTAACTTATTAGGTTTTGTGCACAGTTAGAGTTATGTAGCAGAAGTAATTGAGGGTGAAAATTCTCCAAAGTTTTATCACAATTTTTTTTTCTCAAAACAAAATAAAATCCAAATTATACAGATTAAAACTTCTTTCCACTGGAGATAGCTAGTAAGTAACTGGTCTAGTAAAAAATGGAAAAGGAGTAAGACTTTATTCTCTCTAATTCAAGTTTCAGAGACTAAAACTCTCTTTTGCCCAGCCTAAGAATGAAGCTGTACCTTTTTAACTTATCTGTCAACATAACCAGTGAGCTTTTTGATGCCACAATGATCTTCCACATAGGAACCATAAATGCTTCCCTAAGCACTCACATATATTTATCATATCTCTGCCGTCCTTTCACATTTGTGAAATGATTTATTGTGCCTTCCAGGCTACCCTCCTCTCAGAACAATATGGCAAAATACTTACTCCCTGGAGAGCACACCATTGGCCAAGGCTCCTTCATATGGACGCAGCCCTTTACTCTGAAGCACGCTGATCTGGCCACCCAGTTCATCTGCAATGACTCCTGCATGGATGGCGGCTTTGCACAGTAAAGACGTCTGAAACACAACATCACCATTATCATAACTTACTTAAGAACATATTTAAAAGAAAGTTGGAGGTTTTAGCCTTTTTCCTATGAAAATTTACCACTAGCACCCCTTATGCCCAAGGACTAATGCCCCCAGTGGCCAAGATTACAAAACATCTCCCATACTGACTCTGAACTAGGCCCTGCAACTTGCTTTGGTTGACTCCATATTACGTGGCTCAACTGTCACCATCAACAACTTTTTGTGTGTGTAAAGCCATGTTGGACTGTTGGCTTCAGCTAATCTCCGACATGACCACAGCTGCGTGATTCCAGGAGAGGAGAGATTAAGAGCCATCCAGTCCAAAATGCTAACTCAAACTCATCGGCAAATATAATGGGTGTTAACCACTAGGTTTTGGGAAGTGTCTTTTGAAGCATTAGTAGTTAATTTACCCAGTTTCTTACACTCAGACCATTTAAACAGGCTAAGTATCATTTGAGGAAAGTCTATCATAGCTTTATTGTTAATTAATTTAGAGATTTAAAGGTAAAGCACAGCATGAAACACTATAAGGAACTGAAAACTTCCTGAAGATATTTTAGAGATAATGAGCAAACTACGGCTCATTGGCCTTATTTCCATCCACTGAGAGGAGGTCACTCCATAGCTTTTCAGCCTTCTATGGCTCAAACTAACGTTTCAGTATGCTGTTGGCTAGTGTGATGAACTGGTGAGGAATAACTGGCTGGCTCTCATTAACAGGTCATCATGGGATTGGAGCTGGTTTGTCAGTACCTGGGAATGACTGAAACTTTTCCATGAGGTACCCACACCTAGAGGCTCCCAGAGGCAAAGTCCAGTGTGAAAAGGGTAATAATCTAAATAAACTTTAGATATTTTCCATTTCCCCATGATGGAAATAGTCACAAAAATAAAAGGCATCAATAAAAGTGTTTTAAATAATTGGATTTAGCAATTCCTCTTTATTTTAAGGGAGCTTGGGTGGCCTAGTGGATAAGGAGTTTCACTGTCAACCCAAAGGCAAGTGGTTCAAATCTACCGGCTGCTCCACAGGAGAAGATGGGCAATCTCCTTCCATGTGATTAAGTACTTCTGAAAACCTCTGGAGGGTTAGCTACGGGTCTGTTCCAACTTGATGGCAGCTTACTGCACTGCATTTTCTGTATGTTAAACACTGTTCATTGGTACTAGAGGGGAAAATCCTTTAGATTTAAAAGTAGTTGCAAATAAAATTGAGTTCTTTTGAGCTCTTCATTTTAGAGTTTCACATTTCCCAAACCACGTCAGACTTGGCCACACGCAGCAGTTTCAGAATCACTACAGCTGGAGCTAAGATCAAAAAGAAGACTTCACGGACAGAGAAGAAGCAGGACACCGCTTAAATACATAAACACAAACACTACACTTCCTGATCTGCAGTAAGAGAAAAGGATTAGAAAAAGGGAAAGATTTCTTCAATAAAAATACAGCTTATATTTTTTCCTCTTTCCTGAATTTTGCTTTCATTAAAAAGCTTTCTTATCACTGCTGTGGACTTCTAAAGCACTAAACAGAGGAGCTAGGGGGAAAGTTAGGAATTTAAAATCAGTAACTGAGTTTATCATATTCACTCTGCCTCTAACTACACTGTGTGCTTAAGTCATTTCACTGGGCCGGACCCATCTTCTCAGTTCTTATGTATACTGAAGTAGCAGGACTGGTTGATGGCTAGTGCTCTTCTGAGATCTGTCATCTAGTGATTTTAAAGGAGTCTCAATGCATCTTTAATAGGGTCCAGGACTACCTCCTTTCCCAAGGCCACACAATGAAAAGCAAATTGTCCCACAGTCTGTTGCTTTTTTTCCCTAGCTATCTGTCTCCCCTGGAATTCTGTACAAACAAGATGTGGTCCTCACTGGCATGTCTTAGGATCCCTTGGCGAAAGAGGACAGCTTCACAGGTGAAAAGGCAACAGAACCAGCTGGCATCACTGGCCAACAGACTTCCCACATTGACCAACACTGGGGGAATAAATGGCTTGTACTTTTTTTATGAACTATATTTAGCTACTGTTACATCACCCACCCCATAATGCTAAATGCAGACCATAGAACACATCTCCAAGAGAATGCCCACCAGATCTAGCTGTCATAGTATTATGATAAAATTATCAGTCCTTCTCAGGAGCATTTTCTTTTAAAATAAAATATTTTTGAAATTTATGTCTCATAAAAATATAAATGTAGGAATGCAGCATCACTGGTTTATGTTAATGAATCTTTTAACAAGCTTATTAAATCAAATTTAAAAGATCTTTAGGAAAAGAAGTGTGATGGACAGTTCAGCACAGTGTGATGGCATTAATTATCTATGATAAACAGTTCTGAAGTTCATGAAGCCAGGGGCAAACAGAAAGCATGCGGAAAAAGAAAAATAAATTTTAATTAACTATCAAATTACTCCAGAATTGAAGCATTTTTAAAAAACATCATCCTTCAGAAAAAAGAAATTTGTGTTAGGAATTACTGACATAGCATTGAAAGGCTATTTAGTTTAAGTAAGCATTTTGCTGTTGTGTACCATGAGTTAGAGCCGACCCATAGCTCACTCTCTGGTTTTCAGAGGTAGTTAAATGCATGGGCGGAAACTGCCTGTACTTCTCCCATGGAACAATCCGTGGATTTGAACCATGTACTGTTAGGATTGCAGCATGGCTTCTTACTGCTAGGTACCAGAACTCCTTGGTACACTTTAGACAGTATCTAATAAAACATGAATCCCAATTAAACACAGTAATGTTGCTGTTTGTTGTCATGTGCCATCAACTGTGACTCCTGAACAGATTGGAACTTTGTACTATCAAACCAGCTCCAAATCATAGTGACCCAATGTACATCAGGAAGAAATCTTGCCTGACCCCATGAAATCCTCATAATTTTAGCTGTGTTTAAGCTCAGTGCTGTTGTCACTGTCTCACTCCAGCTTGCTAAGGTGAATAAAGCACATTTAAAATGCCACTTTCCCACATTTACATCTTTGTGAGACCTGGACTTCAGAGACAGCTTGAAAACTTATTTATGTAAATCATAACACTGCTTAAAGGGAATTTTTTTTCTATATTTTATTAATTTTCATAAACATTTACAGAGATTTTGGGTTTCCATTCATTCATTGTTGCACTATTCTCTCTACCCTCCTCCCAGTTTGTTCTTGTCCAAATGCCACAGTGCTTGTCAAAGCCAGTTCTGATTAATCTTCTTTGTCAGTGTGTCCTTTGCCATTCCCTATCACTCCTCCCTGAGAGAGACTTCACCCTGAGTCATAAGGAAAAGGGGATGGCGTATTCTCTTAGCTACTTCCTGCTGAAAAGGGACGCTGTGGGTTTCAGGGTGAAGATCTTTTCTCACTACTCTAAAGGGCCCTAAAGGGAATTTTTTTAACATCAAGATCAATAAGGGTGAATTTTAAAAACAGATTACAGACAAATTCCACAAATACCAATTTATTTTAGTTCATTGGGTAAAAATGTTAAATTATAAAAATAGATAACTCATTATATCATAGATTATTCCTATGTTGCTACTGCTTTCAGAATTATTTTAATATTGTCTTTATAAAGGAAATATGCATTCATTACAGGCATAATGAAACCTTTTACAAAAATAAAAATCACTTCAATTACTGTTTCCCAGAGGCAAACACTCTCCACTGTCACGCATTTCTCTCTGGCCTTTCTGTGGCTGTGACCACACAAGGCACAATTTCTCTTCTCCTCCTGCTAAACTGTCTATATCCTATCTACATCCAAATACATCTCTCTGTATGCTGTCTATAGCCACATCACTATCTATACGCTAGTGAGCGATTTACTTTCTTCCTTTTACAATATTTCTTGAACATTTTTAGGAGTAGAGATGATAAGAGGATGGACATGAGCTAGTAAATTGATGTGTTCTGCTTCAACCAGGTGGTACAGTCATCAGGTGTAGGAGAGTGTGCCAACAGGAAAGTAGTGTTGGAGACTTGGCATTTCTGCTTCCATGTGAGAGAGACACCTTTGTCATTCACCTGGTGTGCCGAAGACACGTTATATGGCTATCAGTGAAGGATAGAACATCACAGATCCTAAGACTTCAAAAACAATTGCAGTGTTACCCACTCATACCTCCTGATTGCCCTCATTCTTCACTCCACAGCAAACCTTTCTATGTGTACCCAGGTCACTCATAGGAAATGGCCTGAAAACCTTCACATATCCTAGGAACCACTGTTCCTAGGATATTCACAGTTTCATGAAACTGTTCCAATGCTTCCTGTTTCAACCTGCTGTTCGTAGGGAAGCTATGAGTCGTACTGGACTCAAGGCACCTAAAAACAACAGCAACAGCAACAACAACGGAGCTCTGGTGGCCTACTGGTAAGGAATTTCACTGCCATCCAAAGGCACTCTGAATCCTCCAGCTGCTATACAGGAAAAAGACAATCTCCTCACATGTATTTTACTGCCTCTAAAAACTTGCTGGTGCGTCCATTCCAATTCAACAGTAACTAACAACACCGTTAAGGAGCTCTGATGCCCTCGTAGGTAAGGAGTTGCTAATCCAAAGGCAGACAGTTTGAATCCACCAGCTATTCAGTGAGAGTTAATCACCCACACAATTTACATACAGTCTCTGAAAACCTACTGAATGGTCAGAATGAGCTGGTTGCAACTCAACTGCACAAAACAACAAGAGCAACAACGAATCTCAGTTTTTCCTTTTGGAACAATATGGAATGAATCAATTTCTTTTCTACACTTGTTCTTTAAGACAACATATTTCTTCCCTGTGGCAGAGCACCTGCTTCTTTTTCTAGTAATTTGTTTTGCAGATTCTGTCTTCCTGATCTAGTGGATATGCACTGATTTAAGCAAATGCCTTTCCAAAAAAGACTTCTCACAATGAAACATACTTTGCAAATTGCAAGAGGACGGAGTCTAAAATAAACTTTGCGATCCCTACATGAGTTTCACCCTTTGTTTAATTCCCTCCCTTTGCAGAAACTGTAACTTGCTTCTAACCAATATATGCTGTCGAGCTAGCACTGCCTCACAGCTGATCTTCCAGTGAAATTTCAGAGGCTGTCAATCACATGGAAGGAGATCACCTATCCTTCACCTGAGGAATAGCTGATAGATTTGAACTGTGTGCTTTTGGGATTGCAGTGCAGCTTCTTACTACTAAGACTACCAGTGCTCCCTTCTAATCACTAAAGGACATCAATTATGGAGGGATGTCATTATATAATAGGCCAAAAGGTTTGAATCCATATTGCTAGATGACTTTTGATAGGAGATTCTCTCTTCCTGGCTTTGAGATAGTAAGTGGCCATGTTTGAAACGCTTGCATGGCAAAGTAGCCTCTAGTTAACATCAAGGAAGAAACTTAGGTCCTCAACAATCCAAAAATAACACTCAACACAACGTGTGAATTTAGAAGTAGATTCTTCCCAGTTGAGTCTGAGATGAGACTGTAGGTAGCCTTGACTGACACATTGTAAAAGCCTACAGCAGAAGACCAGCTAAGTTGTGTCCAGTATCCTGACAGAAATAGAGATAACAAATGTGTGTTGTTTTTAGTCTCTAACCTGTAGGATATTGTTCCAAAGAGATAGATAACTAACAATCTATTCGATCAACACGCGCAAACATACTAACAGACTCCTTTAAAGAATTTAACTTTCAAATTATGAGGTTTGCCCTCAAGATAGAATCTTTGTGCATGCAAATGGTGCAAATCCAGTTTGTGAGTAAAGTAGGAAATCTGTTTTGCGAGCACTTAAAAATTAGGTACTCAGATCTTATGCAGGAAACCATTTACCTGAAAGAGGTATCTCTGTCAGGAAAAAACCAAGAAAAATGTCTAAAGTAGGAGAAAACTATACAGTTTTATGCAATTTTTAAGGTTTTTGTGGAGAACCAAGAAAGAATAAATAAATCTTTCTAAAGTGAGTTCTAGTAATCTAATGGTAAGAAACTGTTCTACGGTGCCAAAGGCATATAGTTCAAATCCACCAGCTGCCCCATGGAAAAAGGATGGGCAATCTCCTCCCATGAGATTAACTGTCTCTTAAAACCTGCTGGAGGGTTAGCTATGGGTCATTTCTGACTCAGCAGCCCACACAACAACAAAAGGGAGGGGAAAGGAAACAAAACAACTAATTTTATATATATATTTTAGCTTCTTTTAATTTTCTGAAGAAATCGTTCTGAAGGAACAATTTTTGCAAAATAGGTTTTAAAACTGAGACCATGTAAATAATTTAAAGAGTCAAACTGAGGCCAAATGAATATCCTAGGTCTATCTTTTCAACAAAGACAATGCAAGGAAAATGAAGTAAAGGGCAAAAAACCCCCAAAATTATTCACAGAACTACTTATGGTCCACATAAACACAACACCTAGTTTGAGACCAGATAACAAGATGATGCTTGGCTACCAGCACTGAGTATTCTCACCACAACACAATAGAAGGTCCCAGGAAGAATGAGAGAAAAATGTAAAACAAAACTAATTGTAAAACATTAGTTTTATAGGATTGACTAGGGGAAATCTCCAAGACTGTCACTGTGACATGTACTTTTAACCTGCAACTGCAGGCATTCCTGAAAGTCACTTTTATGCCAAATAATAGATTGGCCTATGAAATAAACAGTAATATCTGTGAGGAATGTGCCTCTTTAAACAATCAACTATAAGAGGTCAAATGGACAACATTTATTCAAAAGCAAAGATGAGAAAGTAAAAAAGGGCAGGGAAACTGGATGGATGAAAATAGGGCAGGGAAAGTAGAAATGGTCAGAGTGTTGAACACTATGAGGACTGTAATCAATGTAATAAAATAATCTTTATATAATTTGTTGGATGGTAATCTAATTTGCTGTATGAATGTTCACCTAAAACACAACAATAAAAAAAAAAAAAGGCAAAATCTGCCGCTCTCAGAATTGTTGTTGTTAGGTGCCACTGAGTTGAGTACAACCCTATGCGACCCTATGAACAATAGATCTGAGTGCTGTCCTATTCTGTGCCATCTTCATAATTTCTGACAGAATTGAGCCCACTGCAACAGTCACTGTGTCAATGCATCTGGCTGAGGGGCTTCCTTCTTTTGTCTACCCTCCACCTTTCCAAGCAAGATGTCCTTCTCCCAAGATAGCCTGTCTTAGCAGCATGTCTGAAGTATATGAGATGAAGCTCAGAATTAGAATGTGTCAAAACCAAGCTTTACAATGAGATTTGATTTTCATCCTGCCTGGGATGAATTATCAATTACATAGACTATGGAGGCAACAATGAATTAATGGAAAACCAAAGTCTTTGTCAATTTTCATTAAAATTAATAATAATAAAAAAGTTTCCTGTAACATTTGCTTTTGTCTATGAATATTTAACTCTTCTAAGAAGAAATTTGTTAGGCACAAAGATCTGGAATAGGCAAAGAGAAGGGAAGAACACATCTGAGCAGAGCAGATGGCTTCATTGACCCAAGCAGAAGGTCTCTGTTTTGTGATATGAATGATCATGCCTTTGATTCTATTACCTCAATGGGATTTTAAATAGTCAATAAAAGAAAAGCAAATTCACAACTTCTTATAAAAAGCAGGTGGGAGTATACACTTAGGTGCGGTGAAAAGTTTTTGTTTTTAATTTCTTATACACTATGCTTATCTGGAAAGGCTATGAACAGGAATTAATACATAGACAACTCTGGTTTCTATACTTATTATCTTATTTCAGTTATTACCATAGCAGAAAGAATTGAGTATACCAACCTAAAGAATTTTATAGGTCATTTGACTTTGCTTGATAATGAACTGGGCTGAGTAAAAAGCAAGTTCAATTTTCAAATTTCTTACAATTTCGAACATGAAGGAAGTGCAAGATTCAAACATGAGGATGGGCAAGGTTTAGGTCTGTCGTTCATAGGGCTGCAGTGAGTCCTAGTCAACTCGACAGCACCTTAAAACAACAACCACAACAAATTCCCTCCCTGCCATTACCCTCAATTACTTACATCTCTGTATCCATCTATCACATCCCCAGAAATGTCGCCTGCTATGTCTCTACAACCAGCGGGGCAGAATTTGCTGAGGAAAGAAAATAATTTACATTTTATTAAATGACACTGAAATAAGTATTAAATCATACTAAAGTAAAAATTCTTTCTCTTCTCCATAGAACATGCTAGTGTATCTTGTCTTACTGACAAACCAAAAACATGACCTTGCTCAGTGCAGACTGGCTTACATGGTATCTTAAGGCAAATATTATACAATTATTGTTTCACATAAAACTCCATTAAAGAAGAGCTTCCTCAATGCATTTTAATTTGTTCTATGAGGCCTAAGTAATAATAAAAAATATCTAAATAATCTATATAGCATAATCTCGTTTTCATAAAATAAACACTTAAAATGACAATGTATGTTTTCTATGGATAAAAAAAAGAAACAAGGAAGAATAGAGTGTTTCTCCTAGAGAAGGATCTGAGGGACTTTATTTTCTGTGTTCTAGAATTTTTTCTGTCTAGAATTTTTTCTGTTGGACAGAACACAGAAAATAATTGTAACAATAATTGTATAATATGTGAAACAATGATTGTATAATATTTGCCTTAAGGTATCATGTAAGCCAGTCTGCAAATATTATAGATTGGTGGAAGATCTATTAACAATCTGCTTTATGCAGATGACACAACCCTGCTTGCTGAAAGTGAGGAGGACCTGAAGCGCTTGCTGCAGAGGGTCAAGGACTGCAGTCTCCAATATGGATTGAGGCTCAATGTCAAGAAGACAAAAATTCTCACCACTAGACCATCTGGCAGCATCAGGATGGATGGTGAAGAGATTGAGATTTGTTAACAACTTTAGTCTGCTTGGCTCCATGGTCAACACTCTTGGCACCAGTAGCCAGGAAATAAAAAAATGAATTGTGATGGGAAAGTCTGCTGCTGTCAGGGACCTCTCCAGGGTACTGAAGAGCAATGGTGTCACTCTGGAGACTAAGGTGTGTGTGATACAGGCTATGGCCTTTGCAATCACTTGTTATGTATCAGAGAGCTGGACAAAGACTAGGAAGGATAGAAGGAGAATTGATGCCTCTGAGCTGTGGTGCTGGAGAAGGGTATTGAGGGTACCATGGACTGCCAAGAAAACAAACAGATTCATTCTGGAAAGGGTTAAACCAGGCTGCTCCTTGGAGGCAAGGATTCTGGGGCTTCGTCTGACATACTTTGGACATGTTTTAAGGAGGGACAGGTCCTTGGAGAAGGACATCATGCTTGGGAGGGTGGAGAGACGGCACAAGAAGGGAAGACCCTCTATGAGGTAGATTGATTCAGTGACTGGGGTTGCGATGGGTGTGTCAGAGGCACTGTGATTGGCACAGGATAGAGCAGGATTTAGGGCTGTTGTACATAGGGTCGTTATGAGTCGCAAGTGACTCGACGGCACATAACAACAACAGAATCTTTTCATACCTGAGTTCTATATATTAACATTATCCAACAGAAACATAATTGAGGAGTTCACAGATGTTTAAATATTCTAGTAGCCATATTTAAAAAATAAACATAAAAAAGATAAAATTAGTATGACTCATATAAGAGGCCACAAAGCTCTGGTGGCTTCATGGTAAGGAGTCACACTCCCAACTCAAAGGCATGAAGTTCTAATCCAACAGCTGCTCTGCAGGAGAAACAAGGGCAATCTCTTCCTGTGTAATTTATTGCCTCTGAAAACCTGCTGGAGGGTTGCCTATGACTTGGTTCTGACTCAATGGGTGCATAGTAATAACAATATACGAGGTCAGTCCTTGGAAAAAGGCCTCATGCTTGGAAAAGGTAGAAGGAAGACTGTCAACAAGAGGACACAGTGATTGCAGCAATGAACTTGAGTATATTAGAGATAATGAGGATGGGAAGAACAGGACAAGGTTCAGATTCATTGTTCATAGGGTCACTATGAGCTGTAGTCAATTTGACAGCACTTAATGATAACAATAATAACATTTTTTTACCCCAATAAATACAAATTTACAAAGAAATTCCAGGAATACAAGCTGGTCTTATAAGAGGTTGTAGCACTAGGGATATCATTGCCAATATCATATCGTTCTTAGCTGACAGCAGAAGTACCAGAAGAATGTCTATTTGTGTTTTATTGACTGTGCAAAGACATTTGACTGTGTGGAGCACAACGAATTGTGGCTGACTCTGAGAAGAAAGGGAATTATAGAACACTTGATTGTGCTAATGTGAAATCTATACTGAGACCAGGAAGCAGTCATACGAACAGAGCAAGGAAACACTGCATAGCTCAAAATCAAGAAAGAAGTTAGAGGTATGTCCTTTCTCCATACCTTTTCAGTCTACATGCAGAACAGATCATTTGGGAGTCTGGGCTTTAAGAGGAGGAACGTGGGATCAGGATTGTGTTATGCATAGGACACAACTGTGCTCACCAAAATTAAGGAAGACTTGAAGGATTTACTGCAGAAGATCAAGGACTGCAGTCTTCAATACAGATTGAAGTTCATTATCAAGAAAGCAAAGATTCTCACCAGTGGGCCAATTGGCAGCACTGGGATAAGTGGAGAAGAAATAAAAGTTGTTAACAATCTTTCTTGCTCAGGCCAACAATCAACGTTCTTGGCACTGGCAATCAGGATATCAAATACTAACAGCTTTGGGAAAATCTTCTGTTGAGGACCTTTCCAGAGTGCTAAAGAGCAAAAAAGTCAGTCTAGAGACAAGGTGCTCCAGATACAAGCCATGGTCTTTGCAATTATTTGCTAAGTATTTGAGAGCTTGACAATCACTAAGGATGACAGAAGAATCAATACTTTAGAATTGTGCTGCTGGAGAAGAGTATTGACCATACCTTGGACTGCCAAGAGAACAAACAGGTATATCTTAGAGAGGGTAAAACCAGGTTGCTCCTTGGAGGCAAGGATTGTAATGTTCTGTCTCGCATATGTAGGTTATGTTGCCAAGAGGGACCAGTCCTTGGAGGACATCATGTTTGAAAGGGTGGAGGGTCAGTGCAGGAGAGGAAGACCCTGGATGAGAGGAATTGACACAGTGAGTGTGCCAATGGGGGCAGGTGTGTAAAAGACAGTAGATTGGTTCAAGATAGAGAGGAGTTCAGGGCTATTGTTTATAGGGTCACTATCATACTTGACTCGACAGCACTTAACAGCAGCATACAAATTGAATCCTTTTAATGTAATGTAAAAATTAGTTACAGCAAAAAGTAAAAAAAATAAACAGTAACAAGTGTTTAAAACAGCTTTTCACTGGTTTTGACTTTGACCACATGGCTGGGTGGGACTATCCTAATAATGTGAATGAAGTGGATAGTAACTTTTGGGTGGAAAAACACAAACAAGGTGTAGACACTATTAATGACAGGTCTGTCAATATTGTTATCCTACTAGGTTTAAAATGAGCATCTGCAGAGAAAAAAAATGGGCTTTGTACTATGAGCAAGAAAAGTTTAGAGCACAATTCAGGGTCAATGAATGCTGTTCATGATGGACAAACACCACTACCACCATTCTCTGATGGACCAAGACCACTAGTACTAGAAGCAGTGGAAGAGCTGAACTGGGACTGCTATCATGATGCCAGAGCCAGAGCCAGAGCTGAAGGTCTTTGCCTAAACCTGCTGAAGGACTTGGTGGTGGTGGGTGGGGGTGGGGGAATGCCATAATTTACATGACTAAGAAAGCTCTGTAATCTGGCCTATACCTGTGAGGCTGAAGGTCAAAAGGACTGAGTACACCAGAGCAGCTGTCTTGAATTAAGAACTGTATTCTGTTTGCAACCTGAACTGTAACCTACTAACTTCCTTAATAAGCTCCATATTCATGTGGATGGTTTTTGAGTTCTATGTGACCATTTCAACAGATTAGGGTATCTACTAGTGGACTTATAGGAGCCTTCAGAAGAACAGTTTGTGTTTGAATTGATAGAACTAGAGGCAGGAAGTTTGTGAACCTGTAATGTCTGATTTCATAGGGATTGGTTTTGTGTTGTGGTGACGGGGAATCTTCCCTTTGGTGCAGTTAGTGGAGGTCAGATTCAGCTCTCCCTCTGTCCCATTAGCCACAATCTTTTTTGCAGTAATAAACAGGAAAAAAAATCAATAAAATAAATTCTTCCTCTTTTTTCATACAGTTGTTGATGGCCATCAAGTTGATCACAACTCATAGTGACCCTATGAACAAAGGGCCTGAAGCCTTTTCTATAACTATTGTCATTTATCAATGCTCATAGAGTTTCTGGATTTGGAATACATCTTACAATTATGTTGTTGTTAGTGCTGTCACGTCAGCTCCTGGTCACAGCAATTCTATGGACAGTAGAATGAAATCTTGTCACCACCTTCACAGTTTCTGCCCACTGCTGCCATCACTGTGTTAATTCATCTCATTGTGGGTGTCACTCTTTTTTTTGCTGACATGTACTTTTCTAAGTAGGATGTCTTTTTCCAATAACTAGTCCCTTCTGATAATATGCCCCTAAATAGGTGAGAAGTCCCACCTTCCTTGCTTCTATAGAACACTCTGGCTGATCTTCTTCTTATACAGATTTGTTTGCTCTTTTGGCAGCCCATGGCATATTCAATATTCTTTGCCAATTTGGCAATTCAAAGGAAGTAATACTGTTGTTGTTGTTATGTACTGTTGAGTCACCTGCAACTCATTGCAACCCTCTGCACAGCAGCTCTGAAGCCTGTCCTGTCCTGAGCCATTAATCCATCTCATCCGGAATCTTCCCCTCCTGCGCTGTCCCTCCACCCTTCTAAATCTGATGTCCTTCTCTAAGGACTGGCCCCTCCTGCCCAAAAGTATGAGACAGAGCCTCAAAATCCTAGATTCCAAGGGGAAACTTGATTTCATCCTCTCCAAGACAGATCTATTTGTTTTCTTGGTGGTCGATGGTATGTTCAAGGCTCTTCTTCAGCATCACAACTCAAAGGCATGAATCCTTCTTCTGTTACCCTTAGTCACTGTCCAGCTCTCTGATGCACAGCAAGTAAATGCCAAGACCATGGCCTGGATTAGGCACACCTTAATCTCTAGA